CAATTGTAGTTTTTTCAAAAAATTTGTCAAAATTCAAAATTCGGTGCAAACAAACTGAAATTTTGACGGCTTTACTCAAAAATGCTCGTTTACCCATTTGATTGAGTCCTGATGGCGCTGTTGTCTCGCCGAAACGTTATATGAACATTTTGACTGAAACCCAGGAAAGAAAAAATACGATTTCAATTACACGCAGTCAGGCAAATAAATCAAAATCAACTTAGAACGTTGGGATGAAAATACCGTCCAAGTCAGCGACAGCAATGTAATCCTCTCGGGCGTCTGCCCAGAAAACTTCGCTGGTCTCGTAAGAAATTGTCAAAGCGTTCGGCCAGCCCAAGTTTTTGCTGATGATCACTTTCGGGCTGGAACCGTCCATGCCGGCCTTCCCGATGTGCACGCGAGTTCCCCAATCCGTCCAGTACATGTAGCGGTTGATTGGGTCCAAAGCGACAGCTCTGGGTTCTTCTAGATCAGTCGAATGCAACGTTTTTCGATGCTTTCCATCCAACGTGGACACATCGATTGTATCAGTGCCCCTAAAGCAAAGACATTCAGCTGTAGCTGTTGATCAACATCGTCAATCTGTATGCGTAAAAAGGTGTGAATAAGAGCAAACTCATACATACTTATCACACCAGTAGAGATTGCGTCCAACCCAATCGACCGCCAAACCATCAGGATTCTGTAACGTTGACGCTTGCAGCGTCTCGATCTGAATTTCCGTCGTAATCGTGCTGTTCGCTTTGTAGTTGCACAGCCGCTTTATGCTGCTGCCCAGTTGGGTCACGTCCGACCAATAGATGCACTGCGTCGCCCAATCGTAGTCCAGAGCCACGGCATTGGTCAGATTGTGGGCAATCAGGTTGGAGTTTCCCAGTAGATCAATTTCTCGTATGTAATACCTAATGGAAGGGGGGTTTAACAAGTTTTGCTGATTCGGCCAGCCGACACCACTTGCCTATTGGCCAGCAAAAGACTGACTTTGGTGGTCGAATTCGCCTTGCAGGAATTTCCATCTAGGATGTAGTCTTGATGGCAGCTGCAGTGGTAGGAACCGCGCGTATTTTTGCAGATTTGACTGCACGGCCGATCGACGCACTCGTCTATATCTTCGCAATGGTGCTGATTTTTCGCCGATACCTATTTGCATAAACAACAACTCGATATAGAAAAAAATCGGAACAAATCGGGCTTGCCTTATATCCAGAGCTGCATAGGCACTCATATCCAACCACTTTGTCCACGCAGATGTGCTGGCATACAGGTGGAGTGGCGGAACATTCGTCAATAGAGCAGCGCGATTCGTCTGAGAAGTCTCCACAGTTGTTCTCCCCATTGCAGAGCAGAGTCTCATTGATACAAACTCCATTAGCGCAGTGAAACCAACCTGCGCATCCGATCGAAAGAAGCATTACTGGCGCAAAAACAGCCTCCAAGAAAAACCCAGTTTAGGCAATTTTTTTTAGTATTACCTCGGCCTTGACAATACTCGTCCGATGGACAGTTGTTTTCATCGCTTCCATCTCCGCAATCGTTTTTGCCATCGCATTGGTGCAGCTCTAAAATGCATTTTCCATTATCGCAGTGGAATTCTCCAGCCGCACAAGTTCGGTAGCAATGATCCGGCTCGTCGCTTCCATCTTGGCAATCCTGGAATTTTAGCAATGATTTAGACGAAAAGTTGGACAAATCAATTTGCTGAATATCCCCAGAATGCAAAAGCCAGTTTTAAACCGATGCTTCTGTCCACTAATGAGAGAAGTGAAGATTTTTTATATTTTATAAACATTTTTAGAGCTGCGTTTAAAAAGCAGCGCGATTTGAATGGAAATTCTTCAGTCTTGAGAATGAACGCTCTGCCAGATCCTGCAAAATGTTGAATGTTTCGACCATTGCCTCAATGAAAAATCCCCACAACTTCCCCAACTGCGGCCAAAATCTGAAATTCTCAGCGTTCATCGAGAAGGTTTTTCTCTTTAAAATCAACAAAAAATGCGCATTTTAGCTGGTCCAGTTTTTGCGAAATGGACATTTGAAACGCCAGGTGCAAAATTCGGTGTTTCGCCCATTGGCTCAATGAAAAATCCCCCCAATTTCCCCAACTGCGGCCAAAATCTGAAATTCTCAGCGTTCATCGAGAAGGTTTTTCTCTTTAAAATCAACAAAAAATGCGCATTTTAGCTGGTCCAGTTTTTGCGAAATGGACATTTGAAACGCCAGGTGCAAAATTCGGTGTTTCG